CCCAGGGCAAAGGTTTCATACTCAGTTGTGATGTGTTAATCTGGTCTCTATTGAGTATTGGCGTACACACGTAAAAATCTCAACTTGTCAACAAGATGTGTTCGCAACAGGTTTGTAGCAAGCTATTGCACCATGCAGCATTCACCAATCGAACGGTTCGAACGAGTCTACGAACATCAAGACATTCACTGAGAGTGAACTACGAACCCGTCAACATTTTATCAAGTTGCTACAAGGTTGTCACTGACAACTTGTTGAATTGCAGGACGATAACAAGTTGTTGGAACAACTTGTAACAAGTCTGTTGAGGTCAGCGACCTTGTAGCAAGTTGTCAACTTGTCAACAAGCAGTGCGAACACATCCTGTTGACAAGTTGTTGGAACAACATTGCTACAAGCCTGCTTAACCCGCGGAAAGGAGGGACCGCTCGCAGCCTACAAGCCTGCCTACAAGCCTGCCGCAGGTTTGTAACAACTTGTGCGTTTTTACGTGGGTAGTTTTTACCAGTTTTCAATCGCGCACCTGACGTTAACGTGGCGCAAAATATGTCATGTGCCTGCAAAAATGATCATGTCCAGGCCCGAAGACCTGCTCTCTTAGCAGATGGCACGATCTCGTTTGTTTGTTTTATCGTTGAGGGACTACAACTCAATAGGCATTTAGTATTTTTGCACAAGTGAACATACAAATCCTACACGTTGAATAAGCATTGAATTTTTTTTGCATTTTCGACAGGCAATCAAGAACAATGCAAGTTTTCGTGTCTGGATTCTGTTTTTTCTCGTGATGTGCTCGTTTTCGCTCCTGTTTCTCGACTGGTACAGTTAACACATCATCATACTGCATCAGTCTTATGGTAAGTGAGTTGAAATATCTTAGACAAATTTAAGAAATAGACACACTACACCTAGATTTAGTTTCGATTTTAATTAAAAAAAAAGTTTCGCCCGATAAATTTTATGAAATGTCACACATGTTAATACTTGTTTTACTACCTGAATACAATTATACAAAGACAATATGAATGTCCCCCATGCATATACAGTAGTTTAATAAAGCCCCAGTTACACGATACCGGATTCGCATCGGAGCGACATCAAATTTTACAGTTTTAAGGGGAGTTTAGCACTCAAAATTATGATAATATAACAGAATTAGTCAAAAAGTTCAAATATGAAAAGTTGTAAGAGGTCGAAAAGCGTCTTAGTTGATGTCGCTCGACTCGCTCCGATGCAAATCCGGTATCGTATATAAACTGGGGCCTAAGTATAAGTTAATATTTAGCAGCCTCGTCCCCAGGGCTTTCTTGAGGGCGCATGACGAAGCAGTTGATTATTTAGTTATACAACTAACCAGTTACGAAGAAGTAAATGTCGTACTCCAGTCAAACTGTGTGCACAATGACTGCAGAACTTTGCTTGCCATGTCAAACTCGACGAGCGCCCAACCATGACAGCCAAAGCTTAAAAATTTTGGAATTAAGTCTTGCATCATTTTCAACTCGACCACAATGGCGGAGGCGTCCGCTGGGTCCATTTGTAGTATAATAAGTACCATCAGCGGCAGCAGATCGTCAGCGGTAATGGCTAAAGAGATGGTCTCATCAACTCTGTCTAAGACTTGTTGCCTTAATTCCTGCACCGCGTTAGTCACTTTGGTTAAAGATTTTGTCTCGTTATTCTCATCAACTCTGTCTAAGACTTGTTGCCTTAATTCCTGCACCGCGTTAGTCACTTTGGTTAAAGATTTTGTTAAGCATTTTAGCTTTCCAAACACGGATGGTACTTCAAAAACATCCTTGAGGCAATCTAAAGATGGTCCAAAATACTTTGAAAATTTTGAAAGTTCGTTCTCGTATTGTGGTGTTTCCACCTTAGTATGTTCATTTTTCGTAGTGTCTTTTTCATAGATCGCAGTCGACGACCTTGAGGTTGGATTTTGATTATCATTAAGATTTCCTATGCCTACAGGCAAGCTCGAACTATTCCCGTTGTTTTCAGTGCCATTTGGAATATAAGCTTGCTCATTGTTATTGGTACAAGTGCCATTAGGAATATAAGCTTCGATTTCGCCTGACATTTTGTTCGCTTTAAAACTGTCATAATTATCATAGCAACTATCACCTTTGCTATTTCTGTTCTCAATTTTACTTCCTCCGCTCACTTCCTCTGACTTTCGTCGCAAGAAACTGATCATTTTACTGCGTATACTACCCGGCGATCGTTTTTTGTGTTCTTTAGAGGCCTGCGTGTGGGTATATACATGGTCTTTAGAGGACGCATTGGAGGATCGTGATGAACTCGAGGTGGTAGATGAGCTTTCACTTTCTGGAGGTGTAGAGGAATCAGATCTGAACCTAGTTTCAATCCTCGAACTGCGTCGTGGAATTGGATTACTCGCTGAGCGTTGCCTGGCAATGGTTGCCTGACGACGTTTTTCGAATAATTCCAACCACCATTCATCCTTCATGCCCAGATCTAGGCAGCCGATGGGGTACGTTGAAAGAAACTCCAGGTCATGAATCATTTTTTCTTTGTGTTTTTTATACGCCGTCTCGTAAACTTTCATTATATCTCTACCAACTTGAGTGTAAAAATTCTCCTCATAGCACAATTGTAACTTGCGTTTTAACACATCGGAGTATACACTATTGAATTGCTCCAGAAAAAATTGAGCTGTACGATCAGAGTGCTCCTTAATTTGTTCACACAATTTCTCTAATGGTGTTAAATATTCTTCCTGGGACGTGCCATCGCAGTCAACAAGTAGGTAGCCGTTTTCAAAGCTCGCAGTGTTCTTTTTTCGTTTCTCGCCGCCTTCCCTCGAGGATTGCACACCATCCAAAATATCCTGACACGATCCTCGTATGTATCTGGTGAATTTTGCAAACTCTTCTCCAAATGGGTGTTCGGGGTTGTTTACAATAGCCGTGACGCGTTCACTTAGTGTTTGATACTCAGGTAAGTGGCTGTCACTGATAACTGCAAATGAAAAAGATAGTGGCATATCAGAGGCAGAGCTTACAAGAATGAGCGGGCGAATATATAAGAAAGGTGTAAGCACGATTTCCAACAGAATTTGGAAACCCTGCGATGGTGCCTAAGGTTCTGTGAAGATTTTGAAATTTCAATAGCATTTCCGGTCATTTTCGAGAGTTGTTTTGGAGCTTTAGTCAGATTATCCAAAACATTTAACGAAGAATATCGTGTTTTAAAAACATGAAACCTTTCGCTTGACATTTCTGTGGTAAGAAGGAAATCATTTCGAGAAACAACCGGCGTTTGTCTGCATTATAAGCGGCGAAATTCGCCGAAAGCCGGCTTCTGTTGGAAACCCTGTCAGTTAGGAAATAATTTACAAGGGGCAAAGATGAAGTGTTAATACGCAGAAAAATTTCTCACAATGCTATAAAATCCTGAGCACAGAACTTAGAGTGCCTACTTTTGGTTTAGTCAGCATGGGCAGATGATTTGGAGGTACTTTTGATTCTCAGCGAAGATATAGCGGTATTGAAAGGCATTTTAGGTTTTTACTGTTTGAAAAACACTCTTAATGCTACTAACTCTCGTTAAGAAGTCTCGTATAGATAGAGTTCGAATTCACAGCAACGATGATTAGCACCTATTCTTTACGGCTTTATCTTTACTTTGAACAGTGATGTAATACCAGTTTTCTTCTACAGTAAACCAGTAATTCGTGCAATTATCATGCCAGGATTTTGGGCACTTCACTCGATATAACCAATTCTCGAGGGGATTTGCAGGGCCGCAGGTTGGATTCCTGCCAGAGGGCTGATAGTTGCATTTTTGACTGATTTTTTACTTGAGTGTGGGACAGTTAAATAATGGGAAATGACCAGCCTGCTTTGCGTGCACTGTTTGCCTGCGAATCGGACTGTTCAGAACTGGAAATCGGGCTGGAGCACGCGTTCGTTCTTTTGATTTGGCAAAAGAAGCACGACAGATGGCAAAATTCGCACAGTGCCCGTTTGCAAAAACAACTGCAAACTGCTCTAATTCTTTCTGTCACTTTCATTTGATCTCATCTGTGAGTCGGCCTCAACGGCCTTTGATCCGCAACTGCTCTTAGTTAGGTATAATAAATGTATAAAAATTCCACTCATGAAACCGGTTAATCTATACCTACCATCAGTTGGTCGTACTCCCGAATGACTAGTTATGGTAGCGCTAGCCACACCTTCGTCCTTTGTTACATCTTCTTTGATACGTTTTAAGTTCTCCAATATACTCATAGCTCGAACCTAAATCAAACGATGAGTTGGAAAAAGAGCACTAAGTTATTTACTGTAGATACATAGAGTTGAAGTAATGGCTGTTAATATTGGGTGTTTCACTTGACTGAACCCTAAGTTTGCATTGTGTTAATGCATGGTCTAAACATATTCTATTAAGATATGATGGTCTGGAATCCCGACAAACTTCAAAGGCACAAAATATGGTCAAAGACTTTGCCTAGAAGCGTGGCATATAAATATGAGGCATCATGCTTTGAATAGGGATGACGGTGCCTATTTGCCAGAGGAATATATGCATCTTCTTGGCAGGTGACGTCATCCCTTGGGTATTTAAGAAGCCACGATCACAGTTTTAGATCAGCCTTGATGAAGACACTAGACTGGAGTGTCGAAACGTTGGGTCTTGATTACAATTCGACTGGGCTTTGTAATCATTTATTTAAACCAGAGTAGCGAGCTGATATACCTGGTTGCAGTGAACGAACAAACTTTATACCTTTGTTTGATGTTGAACTGTATTACACAAATCCCTTGTCTCAACTTCATTAAATATTATACAAATAATGAATGTTTATGAGTGCAATGGTAAGAATATTTTCATGAGGTGAAAGATGGAATGTTCCATTCAACGAGGCGACAGCCGAGTTGAATGGAACATTCCATCTTTCACCGAATGAAAATATTCTTACCATTGCACGAAGAAACATTCATTATTTGTTTTATATAATACCAAAATTAAACTAATAGATTCGTATGAGAAGCATTTTGAGGGATGCGATTTATCGAAAACACAAAGAGTGCAATTGCACTATACGTTTTATTCCAGAAAAATAGACTAATAGATTCGTATGAGAAGCATTTTGAGGGATGCGATTTATCGAAAACACAAAGAGTGCAATTGCTCTATACGTTTTATTCCATTGCACTCGCGGAGAGTGCAATGGAACGTGTTCCATTGCACTCTTGGGAAATGGAATTTATACTATACGTTTTATTCCATTGCACTCGCGGAGAGTGCAATGGAACGCGTTCCATTGCACTCTTGGGAAATGGAATTTTCTATTCAATATCACGTGACCATAAACAGCCAATTAAACGATTAGAATTTAATAAGGTATTATATAATATTCATTGTAGCTGCACGTTTCATCTCAGCTATCCCCATTGGGCAGTTACTTAATTATACGAAAATACAATGAGCTCAATCAGTGCAAAAATGAACATAAACTCAGACAAAAACATGTAACAAACACTACTGTTTAGTTTCCAGACCATCGTATCTTGAGAGACCATGGTCGTCTCGCCCTCCTTCGTCTTGCTTTGTCCTATCTCATCATAGCCTTCCTCAGCTTTTTTAGCGTTCCCTAGCTTATCCTGGCGTTCCCTAGCTTATCCTGGCGTTTCCTGGCGTTCCCTAGCTTATCCTGGCGTTCCCTAGCTTATCCTGGCGTTCCCTAGCTTATCCTGGCGTTCCCTAGCTTATCCTGGCGTTCCCTAGCTTATCCTGGCGTTCCCTAGCTTATCCTGGCGTTCCCTAGCTTATTCGTCCTTACCTTATCATAGCCTTCCTCAGGTTTTTTAGCGTTCCTGGCGTTCCCTAGCTTATCCTGGCGTTCCCTAGCTTATTCGTCCTTACCTTATCATAGCCTTCCTCAGGTTTTTTAGCGTTCCCTAGCCTTTCTTAAGTCCGGATCAAACAAGGACAAGAATGCATGAGAGTTGGCAGTATGCGACCTTGGTTAACGCCAGTGGTTAACGCCTATTATATTCGCGTACATGTGCAATCAGCTAGGAGCCATGCAAATATTACACATTTTAATAGGAGGTCACAAAACCGCACTTATATAAACAGCATGTTTCAAAATACGTATTATCATTTCATCTTGTATGCTTGTATAAAGCCTGGTTTCCATTAAATCGTAATTATCGCAAGAACCGCATCGCAAGCGTCGCAACGATTTAAAAAACGCGCAAATTGTAATAAAAACTGCGATTTATTGGAAACTTGAGTCACACCGATAACTAAGACTCTTACGACAAAGTCGCAAAGATAGACTTCGATTTTTGCGATAGCGATGTCTGCGTTCCGCGACTATTGCGATGATTACGATTTAATGGAAACCAGGCTTAACCTTCTTTTCCATTTGACGTTTTGCCAATGTTTTCTGTTTCTCAGACATTTCCTTGCACTTGAGATATTCCACCACAATCGTCTGGTTGTCATGCAGTTGAAATCTTTCACTCTCTAAAGATTCTCTTATTGTATCTCTTATTGCCACGAGAACTCGTTGTAATATCGTATGCAAGTTGGCAGTGAGTTTGCGCGCTTCCTCCAGCTCATGTTTTCTCTCTTTCGTCTCGCCATTGTCTCGAATGGCGGCTTTGATATGTTGAACAATACCCTGGTTCACGTCAATCTAGGGAAACCGAAAAATCACTGAGAATGAGAATCGAAACTCATAAAGACACGTATTAATGTTACCTTGTTGCAACCTGTGTGCCATTTCAACCGTACCGGAACGTAGAAAGAATATAGAAAGATGGCCTGAAATATTTTTGGAAGGGCAAATGAATTACGGTCTGCAATTTCTGTTTTTGAACTGCCAAAATGGCCCGCTCGAAATAGCGAAAACTGCAACAGCAGGCCAAAACTATTATTCATTTTCGTTGACATTTCTAGGAGTTGTGAAGTTATTAAAATCAAGATTTGAAATTTTATTGACAGGTAAAGAGATGAGAACCAAGATGGTATTACCATGGTATTAGAGTTGCAAGTATTTAGAGATATTATATAAACAAAACGTAAGAAGAATTGGATATAGGAAAATGAAGCTAAGATAGGACCCAGCCGTAATCCAACCCACCGAACGCTGCAGGAAAATGGATGCACAGCAACCATTGCTGAAACTTGCACATGATGCAAGAAGAGTATATAACTCTCACAAAGAAGCACCATTTCCTGCATTCCTGATGGTGGAACTGGCCTTGGAGACAGGCACAATGCTGAATAGGTATAAGAAATTTATTATATTTTTTGTAGAAGAATTTTCAGTGAACCATCCTCAGAGGTATGAAAAACTAGTTTCACATTTATTCTGGCACAGCAGAAAACAATAAAAAAATTGTTGTCTCATGCGGAATCGAACTCGCATCTTTGGGTAGCAACACTTAATTTTTAGCCTTTTAATTGTCTTGGAGGACGTGCAGTATTCTCAGTGAAAGGATGTTTTTATAATTGTACAAATATTGCTATATATAAATAAATAAAAAATTTTCCAAGAATATTGACATTCTAGAACATGACAAAATATTGAATATGTAAATCAAATAGATACTTTCTTCTATCCACAAGGTCCTGGCTACTTTCCGTTATATACTTATCTAAAATGACATAAAAAAAATATCTGGTGACATGTCATGATGTAATTATTGTGCTACCTGGTCTTCTAGTTGATGTCTTCTCTTCTTTAAATCTGCATCAATAGCCATAACAAACATCTTTGTACATTTTTTCTCCAGAGCAATGTGTTCAAACTGATGCAATCTTTCATCTTGTTGTTTACACAGAACTTTGTACAACTCGTCCAACACTTGTGAGTCTCGTTCAATGTCATGGTCGAGCTTCCTGATATATGACATCTGATTTTTGAGAGCTTCTTCAACTTTTCTAAGATCCTTTTGGTATATTTGTATTTTTGGAAGGATACAGCAATACAGCATTCTTATCAATGAGGACTGCTCCTCTTGACTCTAAAGAGTTGAGGAGGTGCTTGTTTGACTAGACAGGCAGTGATATTTCAGGGGCTTTCAGACTGGGATTGAGACCAAATTATTAATTAATTAAAATAGAGAAATACTACTAGAAAGTTTACTACCCCAATGTTCCCACAGAACTTTATAATTTATCCCTGTGTCGTATAACTTCTTAAAATCCAGAATCCTGCCACTTTTCACCCTTGCTTCCAGTGTTTCTCATTACCAAATAAACATCCCACGTCCTGCTAATATATTAAACGCTTCCAGAGAGTATGTCGCCACCTTGGCTATACAGCCTTTTTTCGTGATTGCACCGTTGGACTCTAACCAATGCCATGTACTGTACACAAAAACAAGGGTCTATGGCCAAGGTGAGGCGTAAAAAAAATGTACCTGTGGTTCCGGTTTCATATCGTGAAAAAATTAGGGTCGGTAGGTCGGAAATCATTTTTTTTTTTGAATATTTTTTTCATGGTTTTGGCGTTTTTTTGCTGGGCGATTTGCAGTAGAGTCCCGACATCAATATTAACTAGAGATGCGTATTTCCTATCGACGAATTTAGGCAATTTTGCTCAATAATTAGTGTGACAACAGACGCCATTTTGGCACGCTGTATGAGCAGCCCGCAACCACCTGGAGAAAATAGGGTCGCACAGTCAATCGTGTTGAAAAAATAATAGGGTCGGCAGAAAATAAATAGGGTCGGGAACCGGAACCACAGGTATTTTTTTTTACGCCTGATGTACTTACCAGAAGCATGTATTGAAAGATCACACGGGAACCGGAACCACAGGTATTTTTTTTTACGCCTGATGTACTTACCAGAAGCATGTATTGAAAGATCACAGAACTAAACTAGTTGAATTATACAACAACTTCAACATTTTGAGTGAAGGCCGTTCAACATTTTTCAGCTAGTTTGATCCTGTAATTTCCAGTGGCAAAGCCAGCCCGACAATTTGGTCATGCTATGCAAATATTTCCATGTTCAAACACTGTGAAAACAATAAATTTCTAAAGAAATGAACAATGATAATTATTTAAAATTTGCATAGCATGACCAAATTGTCGGGCTGGCTTCGCCACTGGTAATTTCTCGAGTGTATCTTAACCACTACCTAGTAGACATAAAAGTACTACAGTGGTGAAATATGTCATTATTCAAGAACCATCATTATATTGTCACATGATGCCTGGAAAAGATATATTTAGTTCAATTATTGTGATTTGACTTATTACCTCTCGTATACTTTTTGTTCGTGAATGACTGATTGTAATCAGGTGCTCAGCAAGATTAAATAATTCATCAATATTATCATCATACTCGTAACGTTCGTCATCTGCATAATGTGTTCTGTATGAAGGATCTTCTGTACCTGTGATCAAAACGATGATTTTCAGGTAAACTTTCATATAACAAAGTCAACAAACTTAATAACTGGATTGACATGAGTTCAGTGGCGCTGTGGCCGGGGGGGGCATGGCCCCCCCCTATTGTGGAGACCCGTCGGAAAATTGTGAATGTTGTCGGAAATTTTTGGAAAATTGTCAATGTTGTCGGAAATTGTCAAAGTTTCCGACGTTGGTATATTCGGAAAATTTTGGATAAATGGAGAAAATTGGTGATGTACACAAAAATTTTAAGATGTAACGAAAAATTTTGGTATGTCAGGAAAAATTTTTTGACCCCTAAAATGGTACACTGACCGAAATTTTTTTGGCGATTTTTTTGTCGGAAAAGTTAACTGCCCTTGGCCCCCCAAAAAACATGGGTCCCACGGCGCCACTGCATGAGTTATGATAATGGTTAGGTTTACTTTGTAATTTACAGTTTGGTGTTGCTTTATATTTGTTGCATGAGTTTGTTAGTTTGTTTGGAATAATACATTAAGCCTTGCAGGAAACAATGTTTCCGCAACAATGTTCCCTAGTTTGCCCAGGGCTTTATATCATCACTTATAGCGTTCTGATTGGACACTTTGAATTTGAGGTGTAATATTAGTTAATGCCTAACGTCTCAATCATGAAAACACGAAACATTTTTTTTCAAAACCTATTCGCAGGCTAAAACCCATAAAGAGGCCCGCGGCTAGATTAGATAAGTGTTTTAATTGTTTTATTACAGAACCGGAAGTGCGTGTAATTTGCCAATTTCGATGCGAGTGACGATACACAAAAATATTTTATTGTACTAATAAAATAAATATCATTTAGGGCGCTAAATTAGATCCTATCTCTCTTGAAGCATACAATATCCCATTATTCTTCGAAAGAAGTACTAAAATTTAAAATCAGTTTTCTCAAATAAATAAGGCTATCAGCCTATCACATAAAAATCCCTCGTGATTCGAATATATTTCTGGTCTTCTGACAAGTCATGCGTTTCAAACTTATACCTTCGTCGTCCAGTATTTTTCCAACGCTTGTTGTGGCCCATGAAAATCGTCTTCTTTTTACATCCACGCATACTCTATCCAAAATTAAGATGATCCCCCATAATGCTGGTTCAATGTTTAAATCTGAGACGGAATATTCTTCGGTGGGTGGAGGTGAACGAACACCATCGTTGCCAAATGTTCCCACATCGTACGTTATACGAGGATAGCAACCATCTATTAACTCAATTGTATCAATTCTGTACAAACTGTCATTGCGTAGATACAATAACATCACTAGAAAGAAGCCGGAAATTGTATGAAATTATATTGCCAAACTATGCTATTTAATACGCTCGTTTCGCAGTTTCGCTTCGATACAAGCATAGAGTCACCGAAAATCGCTATTATTCTTTCAAATTAAGACACGAATATACCTTTTAAGTACCAAGTAGAGTTGGATTTTCGTCTGTTAGTTGTTAGCAGAAATGTACATTTCCTTGTTCAAGATACATATTGCAAGTTTGCAACAAATCCGCGAAAATGTCAGTTGATACACTGGCACATACTGACATACTGGATTCCGAAAAATCAGTAATTTGATACATGTATGCAGTATGCAGGACTACGCGAAAACGCGCGAAACGCGAGATTTGGCGCGAACTGTTCAAGTTTTCTATCTGAATTTTGCTCAATTGTTTTCTTCAGTCATAGTTTGATCGCAAACGTCGAATACAAGAAATATGAATATAATGTTTATCAAAATGAATGAAAATCAATTTCTATATTTGATACATTGTCATTGATTACCATGACATGTCATCACTCCATCCATCCAGTTACACAAATCAACGTTTCTGGCATTTCATGGATTTTTATGGATAATAGTGAATAATGATGGATAATGAAAATTATAGAGCAAAACCACTGAGCAAAACTTTCGAAAGGCGGTCAAGTTTGAGTGTTTGCGAAAATGGTCATGTAAATGTTTGCATTTTTCTACCATTATTTTTACAAATTTAGTATATTCTGGGTCATTTTGAAGCCAACGGAATCTTTTTGGAACATAATAAAGCAATGCCAAGCAATGAAATTACTTTACACTTCGTAAAAGGTGGTGAATTTCATGATGGGAAATCACTACAAGATGTTTTTGTAAAGGTCAAATCTAAGGAACTGGATGTGGAACTTGTGTCAGGCAAAGAACTTTTGGAAAAGGGTGTCGATGAAGACAAGACACTGTTTGTGACCGATGAATTTACTGGAGATGTTTTTGAGTTGCTGCTTGCGCATAAAAAGAGGATTTTTGGACCAATTTGTGTGCTACAATGTCTTGAGAATGAGGTGCCTTTACCAAATAGATTACACCCTGTGTACTGTCTGACTATGTCTGGAGCAATAGTGTCATGCACCAACATTGCAAGGCCCTTGCGGGAAAAACTTAAGCAACTTATTGAACGCATGAATGGTGTTTTTGCAAGAGACTTAACAGAAGAGGTAACACATCTGATCGCTGGTGAAGTTGGCAGCGCCAAATACGCTACTGCCGCTAAATTGAAGAAGCCAATTGTTCTGCCGTCATGGGTTGAAGAGGCATGGCAGCACATGCAAAATGAGCACCAGTTTGACGGTACGGATGCAAAATTTGTTGATGAACATCGTTGTCCAATTTTGAAAGGATGTTCAATTTGTGTGAGTGGGCTAGATGCAAGGCGAAGAGAGGAGATTAAACGATTGGTTGAGAAGCATGGGGGTATTTACCTAGCTGATCTACAGTTGAAGCACACCACACATTTATTAATCGAGAAACCCACTGGAAAGAAGTATAATTTTGCATTACGTTGGAGTGTACATTGTATCCAGCCAGATTGGTTATATGATTGTATTAACGCTGGTTGTTGGCTTGATGAAAGGGAATATTTGGTGATGCTAGATAGTGATTTAAACTCCACTAGTAAAATCAATGGAACACTTAGTGCAACGACAGTTGATGCCACAATGAATAACACCACCATCTCTAGTAGCGAGGTTTCAAGGAAGGCGGCACAAGCTGCTAAGCAAAGTGCCAAGAGTTACGGAAGTAAAGACCGAGCTAACGAATCTCGTCAGCTATCACTAACGACAATCCAGACATCTGGTTTGAGAATGTTGCACAAATCCAAACACACAGCCAATAAAGATGCAACATGTGATTATAATGTTCCAATACCATCAGGGGATCAGTTCCTGGATGGATGTCGACTTTATCTGACTGGTTTTAATGAAGGGCAACTGGACTATCTTCAGAAGATCATTAATGCAGGTGGTGCAACAAGGTTTAATCAGATCAACCCTAGTGTGTCCCATATTGTTGTTGGGGATAAACCAATAAAAGATATTGAGAAATTACTGAACTCCGAGTTTTCACCTCATGTTGTTACAGTCCAGTGGTTGCTGCAGTCATGTCGGCATGTCAAATGCTTGCCTGAACAGGGTATGTATTACACTAAGTTGATCAACATCGTAGGATACTGTACATGCTACACATGCATCAGGGCTTAAAAAATAGGCGTATGGATGTACAATTGTACACAGAAATTAGCTTGGCGTATGCCAAGAATTTCAGAAAAGTACGATTGTGTACACTTCCTACAACAGAGCTAAACCGTTACTCCTTTCTGTTTGCCTTAAAATCCTTCAGACAATGAACAAACATTTGCCTCTGAAACATTGATCCAGAAACATCGAATTCACTGCTCGAATCCTGGACCGCCATCTTTGTTACGTCTTTTAAATCCAGCATTTCAAACGTATTTCTGTACAGGAATTTTATATGTAAACTAGCTAGTATACAAAGTTGTACATCAACATTGATTAAACATACAGTACTTCATACAGAGTGTACGACCTCGTACGGCATTTCTGATTTATTTTTTAATTTAAGCCCTGCATGCATCCCCATTTACTTATACCTCCTGTTTTTAAAAACAACATTTATAATATACAGGGTTCAAGTTTAGTATTTCTGAAATGGTGAAACATAGTGAAAAAGTAATTTTCCAATAGTGGGTTTTAAAATTAGTAATTTTCCAATAGTGGGTTTTAAAATTAGTAATTTTCCAATAGTGGTTTTTTTTTAAAGATTTGGGTGTTTTTTTAAAGATACTTTTTAAAGATACAAAAATTTACTTTAGAGTACTACTGCTTTGAATCAAATGATGTGTTCGAAGAGGCTGGAAAGTCAAATGAGAAGAATAATGACAAAGAAAAGAAAGTTCCAGAGACAAGAGTTGATAACGAGAATGATGAAATTTTGAAACAATATTTAGTTGTGATGCAAAACAATAACCAACCATCTACAGTTAAAGGTACAGTGTATACAGTCAAATTCTTTAATTACAGTAATCTCACATAACTTTTGTCATAATATTCCGAATTTCGTTTCGACGTTTGCAAGTTTGTTGCAATTAGTTTGAAGTTTGTAAGTTCACAAAACCAGTTTATAAACTAAGCATTTGATTGGCTTCTTGCAATTCATGGACCAATTAGAAGCTTTGTTTACAGACCAGCTTGCAAATTTCAATACTCAACTTTCAACTTCGAAACAGATTTTGCAAACTTTCGAATGAATTTTGGAACAATTTGGCAAACGTTTAGTGAAATCAACTGTAACAGACACTTAGTGAAGTTCTCAAATGACATGCAAAAATTTTTTTACCTTCATGCAGCAGAGACCTCAAACAAGATTTGAGTTGACCCCCGTAGGTGTAACCTGTTCAGTCTGATAAACATGTAACAGGTGTAACCTGTTCAGTCTGATAAACAATATTTGCAGGCCTAGCTGCCAGGTTTGAATCTGTATCTGCAATTAGTATCAATATTTTTTTAAACTAAGAAAAATATTGAATGGCTCCCTTGAAGATCCCTGCGAGACAGGTGCTCTACAAAAAATTCTAATACAAATTTCTGCTGGAGGTTGCCCCAAAATTCCAATTGGAACAAAATCCAATAGAAATTTAATTTTTCCAATTCAATTTAATTTCCAATGGAAAAAATCATTGCAATCATGGAAAATTGACCCAGATTTCAACTGGGAATACAATTCCAATTGATATAATTATGATTTATGACATACACGGGTTTTCTTGCGATCCTACTTTTCCTACTTTTTCCTACTTTTCATCAACTTTCCTACTTTTCCTATTTTTTATTAAAAATTGCTTGATTTTCCTACTTTTTCCTACTTTTTCTCATAAAATCCTACATTTTTAAGACCGCTTGGGGAATCAGTATGTTGTAGCTCTCGTAATTAGATCTATAGGATTAATTTTTATTCCCTATTTGTGACCCAGATGATAAGATCTCAGGAGGAGAAGAAGTACATTTTCCGAGTATAAAATTTCATAGCATCTCTAGAATCATAATCAATAAATTAATGAAGACTCTGAAAGTGCCATTTCCGATGATCTAGAGATTCCAAATATTCAACTCCCCCCCCCTCAGTTAATCAAGCATCATATATTCAGGGCTGTAGCAAGGGGGGGGGGCAATAATTTGCTAATAATCATTTTTTTTTCAAAATCATGCAGACCTTTATCATTTAATCCATGACAAACTGCAAAGAATGAAGATATTACCCATACTTTCCTGCAACTTATCCAATATATAGTTAATTAAATACGCCTTCGCCCATTTAGTACTACTAAATTGTAAATTTTGACATACTAAGACGCTGTTTTCTGACCAGTAGAATTCTGTCAAATCTTCCCCAAAGTCCAGGAAATGGCATTTCAGAGACTCTAAATTTAAAAATTTCCTCGGGCCTTCGGCCCTCACTTTCAGCCCCCCTCCCCAATCGAAAAGAGCTTCCTATGGCCCTGATATATGCTCCTGCCGCAGTGTGGATTGGTGCATTGTGTAGCCCCCAATACATGCATTTGAATTGTGTTGCTGCAGAGCAGATGCCTTAGCTTTTATACCTATACAATTTAAAAGTTTTGAGAAAAAAATCCTGCATAGATGAATGAGTACATAAAAATATTGAGCGATGCAATTTAAAAGTTTTGAGAACAAAATCCTGCATAGATGAATGAGTACATAAAAATATTGAGCACCAAAAATTCACACAACTTCCCCATCAGATATCTAATGGTCTACCCCTTACCACATATATCCTAGGGGCCAATTTTGTATATTTTTGTGTTATTTGCATCTCCAAAACTCCTACTTTTGTCCTACTTTTCTACACATTTTCCTACTTTATTCCTACTTTTCCTAAAATTCTAGTCCTACTTTTGTCCTACTTTTCTACACAAGGATGCCAAAAAGCCTGAATAATTTTAAAAGCATAGCGAAGTAAACAAGTGATATCGCTGTCAAAACAACAGACTTACTTTACTAAGTATATATATATAATTCACACGTAATTACTAAAACATGGAACGAGCCACGACGACCCAAAACCAGCCACAACGACTCACAACGTTCCACAAGTTCACAACAATCCACCAACAACATGAAGCTTATGGGAATTTAATCTGGGATAACACCTACAAATCTCGTATTCAAAGTTAGTTAATATTCTAAAAAATATTGTCAGATTAATGGCTGTTAAATCTTATTTTGAACATTCTGATTTCTGAGCCAATCTTTCATCACCTAAAAATTCTCAGTTTATACAAAATAAATTATTATTTAACAAGTATGTTTATGTTCCAATATTTCCATCTGAAAAATTTACCAGAAATTTTCACAAACTATTTTTTAACTAATAAGGAAATTCATAATCATAGAATATTCCTCTAAGTATAGGAAAACTTTAAATCAAAAATTGAATTGTAATTATAAATATTGAACTGATGCTGCATATCATTTTCCATTTTTCTAATTAGTTTAAATTGATAACCTAGGGGCCTAAAACAAAAGCCATATGGTTTCTATAGTAGGCTCCTAGCCCATCTCTTTACTTCTTCTATGTGTAATTTCTATATCTTGGGCGAATCAGGAAATAAATTAATTAAACTCCCTCGCAATGCACGCAACCCACGTGAAAATTCCCCGTGTTTCTATCGAGTTATAGAAACACGGGTTTTTTGAGCTTTTGACCAAACCGCGCCCGTGTTTTTAAACGGCTATTTTATAAAGTGTTATATGTGTCATGTTAGGATACTATGGATCCTCACTAAATAATCGCTTAGTTATACTTGAACGAAATCATTTAGCCACTTAAAAACCGAACTGCATTGATGCCCAAATAACGACTTCTGCGCCTAAATAAGAATAATTATATACATTTTAATTAATGACACGTGTAAACACACTCAAAGCTGTGTACATAATCAAAGAAAAAGCAACGAAATAAGCTGACTTTATTCGGTTTTCGCTGTTTAGTAGTAGTACACCTTTATTTAAACAGAGTAGTCCTATCGGCGACAAAAGTCACTGCTATCAATAGGAGCTCTGATATACAATTAAAAATAATACATATATATGTTCAATAATTTATAAATGTAGAAGTTCTATAATATAAATTCAAGTTCAATACGAGCCAAAAGTTTAAAGCTACACGTCATTCAGCAACATAGCTCGTAATACTGATGTCTTTTAAACATATTTAAGGTGGCTCCCTACAGTTGACTAGAAGTGAAAAAACGATTGTAAAATGGAAACACGATAATTCTAAAAGTGGAAACACTCGCGTCGCGTGGAATCTTCGGAATTCGGATCGAAAAAATTGAAAAAAGCCGTATGTTACTATGTTTTCAAACTTTATGTCCAGGAAGAAAACGCAAGATTTTCAGGTTAATTGCAAATTTTTGAAATTCAAACTATACGTATGTTGTTTCCCAGATTCTACGCTATCTTTTAATGTGTTTTTATACGTGTTTACGCTAAATATCGTATTAATAATGTTCTTTTAAAATTGATATTTTATTAAATCAATAAATGTATTTTAAACAAACTCCTGTCATTCGACTTAAATTACAACATTTATATGTAGTGTTTTATCTTTTTAAACAAGTGAATGTAAAACTAAAGTCCTACATTTATAAATTTTATGAAAAGACCATAGTTTGGCAAAGATGAAAGGTCAAACTTGCACTCGAACTTGCAGTTTTTAAAGATGTTTTGAAAAGTTTTCCCGGCGTGCATGCTCAAAAAGAGTCAAAAAGTGAGCTTGTAAAGTTGAAACAAAATCACGTCAGCAAAAATTTCATCTTGTCACACAAAGTTTGAAACGCAGTAACTTATTTTTCCTTCGGTCAATTTTTCTGAAAGTTTGTTTTTTAAAAATACTAGTCATTTAGTTCAATATACTCAATTTTTGAAAAATTCTATAAAGCAGTTTTTGTGGAACACATTTTGTGTGATATCTCAGAAGTTCAATTTATAACTCCACCTAATTTTTTGATATAATCTCCCACTAGATACTCCCTTTAGCCCTACCAAATTTTAGAAACTTTGACCGAAGGAAATTTTAATAAATTCATTTTTAGTGTGAAATTTAATGTCAGACTGCTGTCTCTTGGGCCACATTGTTACCATAGCAAAACATAATTTGATTCTTTCGAACTAATGTACTTCAAGCATAATGATTGCACAAGCGTTTATACTTTCAAAAAATTCCCCATTTTGCATAAATAGCAAATTATTTCCCGTCTTTGTGAAGACATTATTTTTCGCTGCCATTTCTCAACAACTGTAGGGAGCCACCTTAAACTGTAACTAAATTCTTAATAAACCACCAAGCCGTTTCAGCGCTTGGTTTATATAGATCGTGCAGTTATGAACAAATATATTCGCATCACAATCTCTATTTGACTATAATGCTGTACGGTTCTTGAAATTAAACAACGATGTATGAACGAGTAAACGACGCATGTAAGGAATATATGTTGAACAGAAGCACATACTCGTCTATATACCAAATGTACAAAGATTTAATTTGGACCAAATAGTTTTGTGATGCATTTCCTTTCCCTAATTCACGCTGTATCTTTAACAAAATGTCAAAAATCTTATTTACTCAATAATTTAGTTCTTCAAAAAATCAATTAATTAAAGATCGGCCACAGCACTCCCGTTCCACCAAAATAATAATTATTCCCACATATTTCGAATACTTATATTCAAAATCTTTAACCAATCAGGTTGCAAAACAAACCACCCGAAGCCAGGGCTTTTTCCACGGAAGCAAAAAGCCCTATGTACGAGGTTGTACATTACAGTAAAAGCAATCATAAATGCATGCGTGAAACCAGCTGAATTTGCTATATGAAGCTTGCAAAATGTTTCGTTTTGCGGCAGAGTGGAATAGAACTGTTAGTTCAGTTACTTTTTTGTATGGCTTTTATGTCGCCGCTTAAACAAATCGTTTGTTGAAACAATAAGCTTATTCAACTATATGTGAAAATAATTAATTTAATTATCATAATAAAATTGAAAATCCATCCCAAATGGCGGGAGGGGGTGGGAGGAGGGGAGGGGGGCAAAGCCAGCCCAACTGACACAACCTGCTCTAAATTATTTTACGAATGTCTAAGACTCATGCAGTGATAGGGACGCTTTGCCCCTGGTATGGACGTTTGTTATTAAGATAACAGCGGATTTAGAGAATACAACTGCCTGGAACTTATTATATACACGAGTAGAATATCAAACAAAAAACAAATTAAAATTCATTTATAACCCGAGTAACATCCGTCACTGAAGGAAGATATGCCGAAATGCCAACAACATCAAAAATAAATAGGCCTAACATCGTTCCCAACTTGGCCTAGTATACTGTAGCTCAAAAGGTATAGAGAGTGGTTCTATTCCCAGCCGTGGTCAAGTAGAATTTTCTACTTGCACGGCTGATACTCGTAATAAGAATCAAACACCTGCAGAACATTTACATCACACGACTAGAAGTCAAACGAAAAATTATTTTATAGATGTTTTTTCTCCTCAATTCACAACAAGCAGTCGACAGTTGTTCGCGACCCGTTTATTATATATACTTGAGCCTCTACCATGATCAGAATTTATTAGACTCTGATTAATCCTTGCCTCAATAAATGGCGGGACAAAATTGATATCTGCATGTGATAATTAAAACGATATCACGATATTAGTGACAAAAAAACGTTATCGTCCTCTTATCTATAATATAGGATTGTGTATATTTTATTGTGGATTTTTTCTTTTTTTTTGTGTTTACAAAGAGAAGAGCAGTCGACAATTCTGTCGTGTTAGACTGTAACCGGTAGTGTTAGCTACCGGCTGGAGCGTATATGATCAATCAGAAAGTGCTACTTACGTAGATACTCTATATTCCGCAATGCACTGTTGTTTCATTACAACTTGTAATATGCATATATATAGATATCTTATATACACTAGATAGCGCGCCTCTTTTAGTAAAATTGAAGCCAAGAATATTCCAGCGGTTACCCCCATTTGAATAGATGGCGGCCATGTTGGTAGTTCCCACTCGCTAATAAACGCTTAAATACAACAATAACTGTCATCATTTGAATACTTTGAAAATGTATTTGAAAAGGTTTAACTTTAAGTTAATGTTTAAGTTCCCTGTTTAAGAAATAGAAAACATACAAGTCTTCTCATTTCATTGGAATATCCTGAGTCTGCAATCGAGGCTTCAATTTTTTAATTTCAGACTAATTAGATGCACTAGCTAGTGTATATAAGATATCTATGGTAAGATTTGATAAAAATTTGCCTATTGAAGTATGGCACAATTGTTAACAATGTGTGTTTTCTACTCACCTGTGAAATGCATTGTATCATGCAAGGATGTACGTTTATGACGTACATGGAATAATACATGTTGAGCCGTTATAGGCCAAGCCATGGGACAAGTAATTTAAACCTAAACCATTATAACCTATAGTTCATGCAGCCACGCAAGGCAGATGAGTCAACACTCACTATTTTCATAATTAAAAAGTCTTTAGTTACATGTGTAAATTATGTTATATAATTATTCACTTTTCACAGCTGCATGAATGACATTAATATTGTCACTTGGTATTGACACACTTTATAACTGTGCAAATGAATCAAACAAGTCATTGAAAAATTACCGTTGAACAGATTCTATATTAATTAAACTTACGAGTTACAGGTAAGACCTATTCGTATATATATATATATATATATATATATATATATATATATATATATATATATATATATATATATATATATATATATATATATATATATATATATATATATATATATATATATATATATATATGCATATATATATATATATATATATATATATATATATATATATATATATATATATATATATATATATATATATATATATATATATATATATATATATATATATATATATATATATATATATATATATATATATATAACGCTAGTTAGTTCATATATAGTATAACGTGTTGTATTCGCGATTCTGGCATAAGGAATTTTGTGTGGATTAATATAATTATATAGAACCACCATGCATTTGCAACACTCCTTCGCAGACATAAACTTAGCAAACGTCTGGTGACTTATATTTAAGCAAATTATACTCACGACTTCACATTGTGAACGCAACCTCGCTACATTTAGCTTGTTATAACAAAAAAAGTTCTAAAATATTTCTTTGGTTTTATATATATATATATAAAACCAAAGAAATATATATATATATATATATATATATATATATATATATATATATATATATATATATATATATATATATATATATATATATATATATATATAATTCAAATATAATTTGAATTTAATTGTAATGCACTATGTTTTCCGACTGAAATATTACAGCAACTACTCAGATGCAAACGGATCTTGAGGGCATTGCATGCTGGTGCTGTACTGCCTGTACAAAACACAATATTAAAGTCGGGAAAATGTCATCAATGAATTTCAGCGCATGGCTTATTTTTAATTCAAACACGGTCGGGTGATTTTCAGGCAGTTATATCTCTCTCAAAACGTAACTATCTTGTTAACAAGGGCCCTTGCTTGGGGGAAAGCGTCCCCATCACTAATTCTTGGACATTCGTAATATAATTTAGAGTAGGTTAATTGTGTCAGTTGCCCCTCCCCTCCCCCATCCAGACCATTTGGGATTGATTTTGAAATACTTAAATTAATTATTTTCACATGGTTGAATTAGCTTGCAGTTTCAACAAGCGATTCGTTTATGCGGCAACATAAAACCCATGCTAAAAGGTAACTGAACTAATAGTTCTATTTCACGATGCCGCTAAACCAAACAATTTTCCAGCTTCATAGCAAATTCAGCTGGTCATCTCAGCAAATATGGGAAAAAAGAATTAGTATATAATTCCAGCTTTACAAGTAGCGAGCATCGTTATATTCATTTTGCTTTCAACAATGGCACAATTAACATTATTGGTATGCCTACTCTGTCTTACCCTTACAAAGGTATTGGCTCAAGGTAAGTTTGAATTCGAACATATAATTACATCTTAATAAAACTATACCAATAATTTTGACGTAAGATCCCTTCTAATTGCATTGAGTAGTGTACTCCAATTAATTTTCATAGTTATTTGCGCTTTCGAACCTCAAATAACGAGAGTGTATAGCCTACAAAATGGATAACGTTATATAATTTTAGAAGTTTGTATTATCAAGTTCAATATATTAAAATGTATAGCTACTAAGTTTAGTGAAACTGTTGTATTTTGGGCGAATTTCTACTCCTATTAAAACTATATAAACTTACATCTTTTCATTTAAATTTGTTTTGAAATATAGGCTACCTTGTATGCAGGCCGCCATATTTTTAAAAGATTAAACTGAATGGAACTTGTCGGATCCAAGCATGAATGAGTCGAATTGAAAGCATATTGTAATCGCGACAAGAATTTAATAAAATAAGCCCGAGACCAGTGCCTTTTAAAGGTATTTTCATTGCTGGGCGGTGTAACAAATTTTGTTACGGCAGTAAATAAAAGCTTGACCAAGGGGTGTGTGTGTTTATAAACATGTGATAATCCCTTTTCGTTGGGTACTCCGAGTATCAACCCGGAAAAATCTGAAAATTCGGTGTCACAAGAAGGCCATCACGTCGGGGAAATTAGCCTTTCTCACGCCGCCATTTTTGGGTGACATTTCAGTCGAAGTCTGCGTGATAAGTCCAAATAACAACGACTTTTTATAATTTTTTGAATGAATAATGGTAAATTTGCTTTGTAGAGGTTAGCTTATTTTGAAAAATTAGTTTTAACATGGTTTTAATTGTCTGCATTGGTTAACAAGAATTAGATGCCACTCAAAAATGGCAGATATTCGTCATCGTGAGAAAGGCTAATTGAGAGCCATGGTTTAGGCGAATTTTTCATGGTTCAAATCCATATTACTTAAGGGGTAAGTCTGATTCCTGAGGGAGGGCAATTGGCCTGGTATTTGTCTTTTGACAGGAATTTTTACCTTTAATGCAATTACCCAGGGTGTACGTTCCAACTAATTCACCCATGGCCAAGAGGCTATAACGATACATGTGCCCGACAGCCAATGCCCAAATGATTAGTTTATGAGGGAGGAAAACTGGTCGACCGAGAAAAAACAAAGCATAGCGCAAGAGAAAACGGCAACCAAAGAAGCACATAGAGTAACTAAATGGAAGTAAATATCCTACACATGACCAACAGCATGTAGACTCAATTCAGTGTCAGGCGAGTAACGGTCACACATCGGTCGCTTGAACCTTGCTTCCCTATGTTATTGTGGTTGCATTCACTACTTATTCGTGACTGCAGAATTACGTTTCCATGCATTTTCGTTTCCAGCCAGTATGTAGTGTTTTCTTCTCTCCGATTCAGTTGGCACTTCGTGAGGCCAGGGCACGGTTGATGTCGAGTTAAATGAGAACTAACTAAAAGTGAGTCAGGTTTATTCACATTCTAACCCTTATCGGCCACGCGTCCAGCATAATAAATTTATGCAATGAGCCAATGACCTTTTTCGACTGAATGGCATGCCCCCCGGAAAATTTATGAAATTTGAACCCCGGAACGCCGTTTCCTGCATTCTGAGCATCGAATTCTGTTCTAACATTTGACCCAGGAGTTGAATTTTATCGCGGCAATAGCCGTAGAGGGAGAGCAAAATGCCGTGGATCATTGCGGCAACGATGGCAATTTTTTGCCGTATAGTGCAATTTTTATACTATTCACTGTGCGTTACTATTTTGGCACTTGAATTACCTGAGTGCACAACACCAACACAGAAAAAACAAACATCTTCAATATACAAATCTGATCATTATAATGGTGCATTTTATTACCTGGACAATTATCAATATCTTTAAAAATTCAATTTATGTTCAATTTTGATCAAAATTCAACCGACGACTGCTTTCAAAATGTTCATTTATATTTATTCCGCTCCTAAATCAACTGACGTCACTTTCTAGAATTTGTAATGTAAATTTTAATTGGTTGAGGTGGCAGAATTCAGTTTGGCGCTCGCGTGAGCAGACGTTTGTTTTTCGTCGTTTTGCGTAAGAATAACAACGGCTGCGAGCAGGGAAAGCACGACTACAAGGTCACAGAATCAAGGTCTTCCATGTGGACAAAAACGATTATTGTATAAATAATCCAAATGCTTTAAGTTATTGGTGATCGTGCTACTAGCCTTAAACCTATTGTTTAAAATATGCAATAAGTTTAAATTACATGTAATATTATGGTATACTTTTGAAATGATAATACGCAAGAAGCTGCTTTAATTTAATCAAGTCAATGTCACTTTCTTAATCTCATTTTGTTTTAGCCAATTGTAACTTTGACAATGGAGATACCTGTAGTTATAAAAATGGTGCTGGAGAGTTTAATTGGAAGGTTAATACAGGTTCTACACCCAGTAGTGGAACAGGACCAAGCTCTGACGTCAGCGGCATAGGTAAACTGTTAAATAAACTTTTAGGTTTTAAAGTGAACGATATATGACTTGAGATTTGGGTTACGATTAGGTTTCTTTAGCATTTGGTTTGGACATTTACGATAAATCGCGATTAGGTATGAGTATAAGATCTTAACAATAACTTATTCTACTGTTCATTAAACATAATATATTCGATTGTGATTGGTTGATTTCAGTGAAGTTAATCCCAAACAGCAGTGCAATGTTCTGTAATCACAGTGCAATTTTCTGTGTTCACAGTGCAATTTTTTGTAATCACAGTGCAATTTTCTGAAATCGTAGTGCAAAAATCTGTAACAAACTGATCTGATTGGTCGAAAAACAATCTGATGATAAAATCAACCTATCAGATTAAAGCAGTTTTAGTACAGGTAATCATGAGATGGCGAATACAATTAGAGATTAATATCGTACTCTTGATTTCTGGAAATTTGCTAAATTGGACTCGCCCACGAACACCATCGCATGATTACTTGTTCATTATTAGCATATGACAAAATTGGATACTTCCCCGTCAACATCATATTCTCTCGCCAGAGCCCAGTGGCCAGTCCTGCCAGACTTTCAACCAATGCAAAATTTGGTACTTTTGTTCGTATGTTCATTTAGTTATTTTGTTAAAACAAAATTTGTTACTTTTGTTCGTATTTTCATCTAGTTCCTCAAGGACAATTTCATTTCACATTTGTGTTCAAAATACGTTTCCTTCATTTTGTTTGTTTTGCGAAAATCGTACTGCAATACAATTAATAAAATAATTGTACTCCTCGGCAACCAATCAACATCCAGTAATTTTGGCATGCTAATAATAATAGTATAAACAGATTGTTTCAAAACAAAACAAACATGGCCGAGGTACATAAGGTAAAAGCTGACTTCGGTTGGAAAATATGGCTTTGATCTTTATTTTTAAATGAAACTGATGCATTTACCTTAAACAGGACTAACAAAAATTATATAGTTGAGTGGAATTCTCAAGCTGTTAGCGTTGTACAATGTGATATATAAACAACTGGGCCAAGAAAAATTTGCCAGTGGCATGTTCGCTATATTGACTAGCTCGTGAGTTTTTCATGAAAGACATCAAATAGCACTCGTCCGTCGGACGCATGGTATATCCAAATTGCATTCGAAACCATGCTATTACCTATAGCCTACTAATTAAACACTAAAAATAACATAGATTGATTATTAAACTGTCGGCGTTTTGCTTGTACTACCTTAAATAAATATATAAGAAAAGTTAAACTTAGAGTATAAAGGCTCCCCATCCGCAAATTGGGTTGGTCTTCTTATTTTTACAGGTGCTTGGTGAAACCACTGAAGTGTATTTGGTCTATTGAAGCTTACTGTCTACACAGGACTTGTTATAGTTTGCTATATATTCAGATTAGTATAGAGGTGCACTGTAAATAAAAGCAAAAATACGTGAATATTTGATATCTTTGACGCTTGCAGACTCACGAAATAACTAGAAATACATGCATGCAACAACCCCTCACCTATATTTTCCAAACATTGTTTCAACATGAAGTATTCGTAATTACGCCAACACTGAGCGCAGGCTCGCGTTGCCACGTCATGTTAGTCATGGCAACACGATAATTGTTTTTTTTTAATGTTTTGTACAAACCGGGAAAAAAGTAGATGAAATTTGAACACTTTTGAATACAGAACTATCAATTTCTAGAAAGTAGGTATAATATTTTGGTTTCTATGGGCTTTATTTTAATGTAAAATTCAAAACGAAACGTGAATTGAAATTAACTGCTTTTTGCCGATATTTATATAAAACTTCTCAACTCGAGCTTCAACTTAATATTACTCCCACTTTGAAATGAAACAAATTTAATTCGTACAGGACGCTAATGAAAACAATTTGCTTTCCTTTTTATCATGAACTTCTAAAAAGTTAATTTAACTGAGAAATTTCGCAAACAATGCGTAGGAAAGACTTCAACATCAAGAACCGAGACAAAGTCTATATTATTAAATACAAAGTCATACATAAACAATTAAAACAAACTTGCCCTATACTTTAGGCTTTATCATACAATATCAATTCTTATCATTGTTTACGTTTAAAAATTGCAAAAAAGTTGTACGAACGATTTTCCAAGCTTTCTCACATGTATTTTTTTATATTTTTTTCCTTCTTCATTTCTGGCAAACTCTTCTGAGATCAGTGATGACCACCCACTCAACATCGTTGGTGAGCGCCCGCGATAATTGATGAACTTTAGAATTCGCTAATGCTTTCGTTTCCCCGGGTGTAAATAGCCGGTGGGAATTAGTACCCTCGCACGGCGCTTCGCGCCGTCGGCTCGGTGATAACGGCTTATTGACCGAGCGTGAGGTATGTACTGTGAAGTATCAGACCGAGCGAGGGTTCTTAGTATGGACCGAGCGACGAAGGAGCGAAGTACACGCCAAAACACAGAGGTCTGATATTTCACAGTACAGACCCAACAAGCGAGGTCAATAATCGGTTTATTATATGGCTGAACTGAGTCTGTGAGCATTTGCTTTTCGCGCGAATTAAATCGGCTATCGTCAGTTTCACTGGATAACAATATACGATAGCATGCATGCTCAATCAAAAACAATTTTGTTTTACAGGTAAAGCACAATTGGAGAATTAAAAAGCAAATTTTTTTTCTGTTTGCAAGGCAAAAATTTTCCGCCAGATAAATGGCATTCGCGTCACTGGTCCAGATACGGAAAATACAGACCACAGTCTGGAAATGGGTTTTTACGGACCGCTTGCCAACCAATCAGAATAGAGATTTTCGAAAAGCTATATAATAAGTACAGCTAAAGTTATTCAAACGCAAATCTTTTCGCGCCAAAGTTACAGTAAATTTTGTTTCGTTAAATGAATGTATTTTTCCCACTTTTTACAGGTTCTTATCTGTACATTGAAACTTCAAGTCCACAACTGTTAGGTGATAAAGCCGCAATCTTAACACCTTACTTGAACGGCCCACAATGCATGAAATTTTCTTACCATATGTACGGTGGTGATATTGGAGTCCTGAACATCTTTGCCAATAACAAAAAGATATTTTTAAAATCGGGAAATCAAGGAAACCGATGGGTGGATGTGGAAACTCCAATCTTGGAAGATGGAAGATATATGGTGAGAGAAGAAAGCAGTACTTCAGATACACAGACGCTACGTAGACAATAGCACCATATTTGCGTGAGGAAAAGACTACTCTAGCCCCTTACACTTGCACCCAACCCGAACGATGGATCCAACGCTGTTTTTGACAAATATTTCGTTTTCATTTTGTTTTCAAGAACCGAAAGGAAGTCATTTTCCTGTAACTGATTACTCAATTTTTTTGTGTAAATATTTAAGGTTAAGTTTGAAGGCGTTTGTGGTGATGGTTACGAAGGTGATATTGCAATCGATGCTATCAGCTTCACTCCAGGTGATTGCTCATCCGCAGGTATTGTGTAGTGGTCTACCACCTTTTACCATTTTTTAGTTAATACAACCAAGTCATTATAATACCAATGATGATCACATGCCCAGCTTGTGCTCCAGTGCACTTTCATCTTCTAATACCTTTTGACAGGAACTTACCTCGTTGCCCTTCTATCCTTTCAAGGGCGATATAGTGACTTACTACAACATCTCATACGTCTTGACGAGAACGTGTTATATTCTACCTTTTCATTCGAAGGTCTCTATGCCAACTTACCCAAATACGTCTAGATGGCAATGCACCACACTGTTCTTTTATCTTCCCAACGACACTTTGCTGACTTATAACGACATCCAATAGACATTGTTACATTGCCCAATAGGTACATGTACAGTATTGTTGGAAGAATGTTTCAAGTATTTTTCTTTTATTTTTCCAACGTTTCTACAATGACTTGTTACGATGTCCAAATAGTTCTTGATGGGATGACGTGCTCATTTCCCCTTTATCTTCCTAAAGTTCTTTAACCAACTTATTACGATATCCAATACGTCTTGACAAGAATGTCTCACATCATCTTACCTTTCAATGTCCTTATATCAACCTACACAACGGACAACATTTCTTGACAAGAGTGACCAATTTTCCTTAAATTTTCCAAGGTCTCTCTGACCAAGACGTTCAATTTTTCTTGACAAATCTTGACAGGAATGCACTTTATCCATGTCCTTCTGTCTTTCCAAGATATGTAACACACGGACGTATCACAACGTCAAATATTCCTTGAGGAGAATGTGCCTCCTTGCTTTTTTGTCTTTCCAACGTGTATAGATCGAGTGGTTACGAAGTCCAATACATGGCAACGACAGTGTGACCTTTTATCTTGCCAAGTTCTTTACACCGGCTTACCACCATGTTCAATACCTCTGGACAACAATTGTTTTTAAACTCATTTTATTTACAAAATATACGGAAAACTTACGTGAAATTTAACATCAACAAAAATTTACAAAAATATAAAGTTTCTTTCGTTTTGTACATATTCGGTGAGTCCGAGCCCTTGCAGTTCCTCGAACCAGTCTCTTTCTCGATAATAATTAATTTCTACTCTGGAACATCCTCCCGCCCGATGCAGGAAGTGCATCAACTTTCATTAACTAGCAAATGTCAACAAACTAGCTAATTATTGTCCAATGTTTACTTTAGTCCTGCTGCTATGTCAGCATCACAAGTTTCTAACACATGTAGTCTTTGTACAGGACGACGGGTATGGCGGCCTGAGGGCAAACGTAACGTTACAGATCGGATCAGACCATCTCTTTCTTCATGCGTTGCCTCAACACCGGCTTTCTGCCATTGTCCTCTTGGAACTTTATCTTAACTTACGAGTACTACATCACCCACATGCATTTTTCGACCAATATCGATCCATTTTTTCAAAGTGGTTAACGACTTAAGATATTCCGCATTCCATCGATTCCAAAATCCATTTACCAAACGTTGATGATATTGTAATCGTTTCTTTAAGGCGTTGGAAGTGTGCTCCGTAACCTTCGTATCTTTGCTTGGAAATGCCTGTAAATTTCTCCCAATGAGAATCTGGGGTGGCGTAAGGGCCTTTAAGTCATTTGGTTCAGCTCCAATGTAAGTAAGAGGACCACTGTTAATCTGAGTCTCGATCTCCGTCAAAATGGTGTCATTTGCTCGGCGTCTAACATTGCATTTCCAAAGATTTTTTTCAGCGGCAACTTAACACTTTTCTCGAGACGTTCATAAAATCCACCCCACCAAGGGGCTCTGGGTACTATGAATTTCCATTGAATCTTCTTCTCAGATAAAGCTGTACGGGTTTCTTCGGATTTCAGGATTCGCCAACAACTCTGTAACTATTTTTTAGCATATTTGAACGTTTTTGCATTATCTGACCAAATAATACTACACATGCCTCTTCTCGCAACCATACGTCGTAACTCCAGCAAAAACCGTTCAGTTGTCATGCTGCTTACCAATTCTAAGTGTACTGCACGAGTGTCAGCACAAGTAAAAAGGCAACTACATACCTTTTCACCACGGTTCTTAAGATACAATGGTCCAGCAAAGTCCAAACCAACGTTTGTGAATGGAGGTCCAGGTACAACTCGGTCAGCTGGAAGAGGTGCCATTTGTTGAGATACAGGCTTGGTGTAAAACTGACGACAGACTATACATCTCTTTACGATTTTGCGGATCGTAGCTCTTCCTTTTATCAACCAAAGTCTTTGACGGACCACTGACAGTGTATGATCAACGCCAGCATGCATTTCACGACGGTGAATATCTTGAACAAATAATTCTACAGCAGGATGATCACTAGGTAAAATAATGGGACGTTTCTCCTCCTCGGGCAACTCAGCTTTATGGATTCGGCAACAACATCTTTGATCTCACAGTGGATGGTGTGATTAATCCAACTGGATAAAAAACTTTAGCAGCGCACAAAGCCACCTGTCTCTTTGTGTATGTCTCAATCTGTGGTTGACCAATTTCAATTATATATGTCAAAGTATCTTTGTTTGTGTCCCATTTCAGACCAAGAGCTTTCGTAATTGAACAATTCTCTGGAAAACTTTGGTTAAGGTTGATGAGACTGTTAGGTGCTCTATCTTCTTCAGGTATAACTTCTAAAAGCTCTCGAGAATTACTTGAGCACTTGGTTAAGTTAAATGCCGCCTGCGCCATCAACTCCTTCGCACTCTCTCGCTTCATTGACTTCGTCTCGACAAAAGACAAAATCATCAACACATGTATTCTTAAGAATTTCATCACACATTTCAGGATACAGTTCTTTATTTCTCTGTACATGCTCTTGGGTAGTACATATTTTCAAGCATGGACTGGCAATCACCCCAAAAGTCACTCTAGTCATTCTGTAAACTTTGGGAGATGCTTCAAGATCAAGGTCTCGCCACAAATACCGATGAGAATCTCGATCTTGTTCTCTTAAACTGATCTGCGAAAACATTTTCTCAATATCACTTGTAACAGCAATCTTCTTCTTTCGGAAACGCACAAGAATACCACATAGATCTGGTTGTAAAGCTGGACCAGCGTCCATACAACTGTTCAGTGACGTTCCTTCACTATCCTTGGCAGACGCATCAAATACAACTCTAGTTTTAGTTTTCTGTCTGTCCTCCCGAATAACAGCATGATGTGAGAGATAAAATACTGGTCGATTATCAACTGACTTGATTTCATTGGCTGGTACTTCTTCCGCAATATCATCCTCCACATATTTGTTGATGCTGTCTTGGTAAATCTTCGCTTTCAATGGGTCTTCAAGAAGCCTTTTCTCTAAACTATACAGCCTTCTTTCTGCTTGAATATAGTTGCTCTTCATTGTCACTTGGTTTTCTTTCCAAGGTATGAATACTTCATAACGTCCTTCCTTAAAAGTCAACGATTCCTTAAAATTGTTCAAAACAGTTATCTTCGGTTTTATTTAACAATGGCATATCATCAGGCTTAATTCCGATAAAGTCTAAATTCCAAAACGATTGTAAAGTTCCATTCAGTTGATCATTTGCAGAAACTTGAACGTTCATTTAGACAGTAGACTCACTGCTAGCAGTACCTGTTGGCCCACACAAGACCCAACCCAAAGTGGTACGAACAGCAACCGGTTCAGATAGATCGGCTTTCACAATGTCCCTTGTAACAAATGAATAGTAAAAATCTAAACCAATGAGAACATCAATTGGCTTTTAATTTGCTCTCTTGGGAAATTCTTCTGGAAAGTTTACATCTTTCAGGTGTATCCAATTTGCTGGATTGACCTCGACCGCATCAGCTGGATGACATATCTCTACAGTGGTGAGTGCTTCAAACTCTCGTGAACACCTGGTCCTGTCCACAGTTGCTAGTGTGCAGGGTATTCTCTTTCGAAGACATGCTTTATCTTGCTTTCCACCAAAGCCAGACACAGAAATTTTAACACTGGGTCCATCGAGACCTAGCTCTTCTAAAACACTTTGTTTTATAAAGTAGGTTTGTGAACCTGAATCAAGAAAACAGCGAACAATCTTTGAGTTCCCATTAGAAACACACAAAACAGCTAGGACTGTTTGTAGAATCACCTATCCAATATCATCAGTTCTAACTGAATTGGCTGTTACATTCTTTGATGCATCCTCTTGACTTGCAGACTGATCTTCCGTGGCTCCAGTCTTGTCTGGAAGTGTACATTTTCTATTTGGGGGCGGCTGGTCTGTGTGGAGAAGGTGATGGTGACGACCTCTACAATGCTTGCACAATGTCATTCGACTACAGCTGACCACCTTCCAAATACAGGAAACACAGACCTTTAGCACTCACTTTCCGGAATCTCTCTTTCACCGACAATGAAAGGAAGTTAATGCAAGACCACACATTGTGATCCTCACCACAAACAACACACTCTTTTTCTTCAGTTTGAGTAGACGAACACAACGCTGATGTTGAAGACCTTCTGAATGATGGATTTTTGTGAAATCCTACCTTCAAAGAAATATTCTTTGGAGGTTTGGATTCTACATTAGGAGCTTGTATACTAGATTCCTTTGCCCTTATGACTTGCTCTAAGAAAGTAAAGAGTATTTTTATAGGCAAACAGTCCTCTTTCTTATATCCAATTTCAAGCTCCCACTTTTCCACAAGTTTTTTTGGTAGCTTATCAACAATCAAGGGAACCAATACTGGTGCCAAGGTTTCAGAGCTATACTTCTCTCCCATTGACTCAACCGAGCGAACATGCCCGACTATTTTATCATAAAACACTCTCATAGATGTTGCATTTTCATCACTCAATCTGAGTAAATGGATCAAACCCATCCTATGGGCGTCCAAGATCAACCTTGAATGACCAAATTTTTCCTTCAGAGTTGACAAAACAGATTCATAATTCTCAGCCACTATTGAAAATCCTTTAACCGACTCAGCCAGCATAATGCACTCTAGTTTTTGTACATCAGCTAAAGCACTATTATCCACAATGGACACTTTAACAGACTGATATAGTATGACTGCCAACACAATATATCCCCATCAAATGTTGGTAATTCAATCTTTGGCAGTCTAACTTCAACTTTACATGTGGACCCCAAACTTGACCCACACTCGACCCATTGCTGTTCTCAGCATGTGTATTAACACTTAAATACTTTGTCATTCTAGCCATATAATCCATAACTCTCATGTTATGCTCATTGTGTGCTGCACATTCACTATCAATTTCACTGTCTATATAGAAAGCGAGGTTTGTACCTCTGTTAAATCATTCCATTTACTTAAAATATTATCTTTCAGTACCTGAACTCTAGCATGACTATTTTCCTCTGCAAGCGCTTCATCAATCAACTTTAAACTGTCCGTCACCGACTTCCTCATAAAACGTCGCTTCTTTTTCACGCCTTCTGGCCCTTTCAACATGCTTCCAACAAGCAATAAACACTATTTATTAACGCCAATTGTTAAATACTGAACTTTTCTTCTATCCGACACGAAGGAACTCATTTTATTTACAAAAAATACGGAAAACTGACGTGAAATTTAACATAAACAAAAATTTACAATTTGTTCGTTTTGTACATATTCGGGGAGTCCGAGCCCCTGCAGTCCCTTTCTCGATAATAATCAATTTCTACTCTGGAACAACAATGTACCACATTACCCGCACAACTTTTCAGCAGCCTTTTATTGATTTATTTACCACACTTTTAAGCCAGGCACCTGAAGTTTTCTTATGCAAACTATTTTCTACTCTCCTGTAGTGACATGTAACTTTGATCAAGGTGTTTTGTGTTCTTTCACAAATGGTGCCAACGATGATTTTGACTGGATAGTTCATAGTGGAAGTACACTAAGTTCTAACACGGGACCTTCGCAAGATGTTTCAGGGAATGGTAATATACTGATAGTTTCGATTTATTTAAATTGCTGAATTAAATGTCATATTGTATAATCTTGAGAGTGTATAGGTAGCGATGAATAATAATCTTGAGGTATTGTATGATCAAATAATCTAAAAATTATAACAAGAACTTCCAGACGAGCGGCTTTCGCTCCAAATTTCGACGTTCTTGTATGTATTCCAAGTACTTTGACCCTAAAATCCCTCCACCATATCGAAATATCATACCGAAAATTAAAAGCCTCCAAGTTGAGAATTAAAAACTTGACACATACCTTCGTGAATACGATGTTTTATTTTCGGATTAACGCAAGTGTTCGTCGCTTTTCTTTCGAATCACACACCGTTTGGAATATTAATGACAACATTTTTCAAAAGTTGCTTCAAAATTTTGAAAAAGCCCCAGGTTTTACGTTTAATTGAATTATTCATGACTTATTATAAATACTATTTATATTTTGTCGGCCATCTTGTTGTCATTCGTGTTGTCCCGCGTGGTCTACGCGAATAATGTTCCACCCCATGTTCCCCGGGGAACATGGGGTAGAAAATCGTCAAAAGGAACGCAGGCTCGCTAAGTGATGACGTAAGGCGTGATATCGCGATTAATTTCATGCCCACGTGCTACAAACTAAGCTTCCTGATTGGACAATTTGAAGTTGAGGTATAATATTAGAATGAGTGCAATGCTCATGAATTGTAACTATGAAATTCCAAAGTTCTTCTTAAACTTTTTATTAAACATTTAAAGCGTTCCATTTATCTACTTTTGGTTTCAAATTAAGTTCACTCCAATTATTCATGGTGAATTATTCATACTTTTACACTTATATATACAGGGACGCCGGAACGATAAAAAGCCAAAGGGGGCAGACACACACCAAAGGGCACCTCTATAGATCAAAAGTTCGAAATTTACCTGAAAAAAATTTTTTACATGAAATATTTTTGGGCGACCTCCCCCCCCCCCCCACTCCGTCGTAAAAAAATTTTCGGTCAGTCCGGACATACCAAAATTTTTGGTGATGTAAAAAAATTTTTCCGGCCATCAGCAATTTTCTCCATTTATCCAAATATCTTTTCTAAAATCCAAAAATTTTCTAAAATTCTTGTAAACTAACCTCATTCTTTTCGAAATTCACACTTATTTTTGTAAATTAACTTTCTCTGCGCCTGTAAATTACCTGAATTTCATGATTTTGCCCGAAAAAGCATTACTGGAAATGTGATTTATCAGGTAGTATTTTACAACTAAAAGGGCACTTCTGCCCCCCTTGCCCCCCTAGCAAAAGGCAAGAGGGGCAGCTGCCCCTCCTGCCTCAGTTCCGGCGTTCCTGCTTATATACTATATAACAAAACACTTATTTACTGAGACCTCAGGAAAGCAGTGTGTTTCCCTCGGTCTGAGTAAATAAGTGTTAATTATGTTTCCGTTGACTTGCAGGCAAGTATGTCTATATTGAGACATCAAGTCCCAGAGCACAAGGTGAGAAAGCCTCTCTCGTCAGTCCCCAAGTCAGCGGCACTCAATGCTTGAAATTCTCTTACCACATGTACGGCGCTAACATGGGATCGCTTATCGTCTATCAAAATATGGGTAATCAAATGCTGGAACTGTTCAAGAAATCTGGTGATCAAGGCGACCAATGGAAAAAAGCTGAAGTACAAATAAGCAATGGAAACAGTTATTCTGTAAGTATATAGAACATTGTCCTCCGATAAGGGTTGATAAGTATATCAATCTCGTATGATCTCACTTTAAAGACCACCCGAATATTGCAGCAGAGTGAGATTAGAGCCAAGAAGAAAGGTACAATCAGTAGCCCTGGTGATGCAATTACATTTCTCTGCAGTGAAAATGTGATAGAACTTGCCCCTCAAGACTCAATTTTTATAATCTGTCTTGAGTTATTTATGTGTCATAATGATATGAGACTCCAGCACTTTTTCACTGTACGGGAAGTTTTCTGTAGAGAAAACGATATCAGACGATTGACATTATGAAAATTATTTCTTGAGCAATCGTGGAACGGAGTTCCGCTGCTGCAATTTATTATGGTACGGGTTTTGGGGAAATACGAAAGGGCTTTATATATTACATCATTAGTATGGTCAGTGTTGTGATGTTGTTGAAAATAGGGTTTTCTGTTCGAACGAGCTATATGTGGCAAACAGAACATTCAAAACATCGGTTCTAATCTCGCATTTTGCATTATACTGATAGTATTTCAAACGGTGTTTCATTTTAATGTGTTTTTCAAAGGTTGTATTTAGTGGAGTAAGAGGAAGTAGTTATTGCGGTGACATTGCATTGGATGAGATTTCAATCACATCCGGTCAATGTTCAGTATCATCAGTATCATGTGGGCAGAAAGGACGTGGTCTAAGTGACTTCTCCAGAATTGTCGGTGGTCAGAAAGCCCAACCAGGTGAATGGCCATGGCAAGTAGCACTTATGCGAGGAACATTTCAATTCTGTGGTGGATCACTAGTTTCAAATCAATACGTCATTACTGCTGCTCACTGCATCGATTCAACGGACTGGGACAGCGTCACGGTAAGTAAAGCTCACGTAATCGTACCTGACCAAGCCCACTGGAACCCTGTTTTAATATTCTCTGATCGTATCCTGCATGACAGATTGTGTTCCTTTCTTCCTTGTCCTTCAGATGTCCCTCAATAGACCACCTGCAAAGATTCAAGTCGGGTGCCCTCTCTTGCTGTTGCTACACACTATAGATGTCCTGGACACTTTTATTTCCTGTCTTTAAGCTAAGACTTATCTTCAAATAATTTTTCTCAAATTCTCCATTGTTTGCCATAATGGGTCAACTGTATTACAGTCACTAACTGAATCTTCGTATCTTCCCAATTAGAATAAAATTAGTGTGGTGTATATGCATTCTTATTTTTCCATTCTCAGTCACACTATGTTCTGACTAATTTCCCATTTTCAATCAGATCAGAGTAGGTGAACATGATCTGGGCGTGTATGATGGACATGAACAAGATATCAGTATTGCAAGATATGGCATTACAGTTCATCCTCAGTATCGCAGTGACGGGGAAGATTATGACATTGCAGTCGTCAGACTTTCCAGAAGTGTTCAGTTTACACAAAGGATAAAGCCCGTCTGTATAAACAGCGGCATTGATTTCACTGGTAAAGTAACGTTATTTTTAGAGCAATAGAAAGCCTGAAAGGTGCGGTATTGTCATAATCAACATCATGTTTATCGTTATTAACAGTCCAGGGCTGGTTGTGCAATGGACGGGCATGCACCCTAATGACCGATATTTTTTCAAGCTTTCTAAAATTGTCCGTTGAATATACCCTAATTAATAAAACGTCAGTATATAAAAATTAACGTTTTTTTATATAAGTTATGAAGTCATGATCAGCATACGTAGTCAAAATACGCCATAATCTTTTCAATCATTTTTGTAAAGACAAAATATCACTATCCAGGCAGGCCCTGAAAACTAGGTTGTACAAGGGATTTTTGCAATTGAGTTCGAATTTTCTACTTGTAAAACGCCTATTCGCAAGAAAGCAATATAAAATTAACCAATTAACATACATTATCACACTGCCTCGTCCCCAGGCGCTAATTAAAAATTTCATGCGAGTCACTATATGAAGGTTGACATAAAGTAGTGCATCACATTATAGGCGCGCAAAGGGGAGTGGGATACGAGCGTTCTGTTTAGCGCCTGGCCGATCTTGCATAATAGCTGTCGAACATACAAGTAAACAACAGATCTAAATATAAATCCCTTCATGTATATCACCAGAAAGAAATAAAGCTATCCTTACCTGAATTATTCAAAATACTGTCGATCGTTTGCATCGTGAAAATCAAACATAGCGCATGTAAATAAGCTCGTAACTGAAATCCTGAGACGAGTCTTGCAAATGCAATACAACATATAGTTTCATCGCTCCCTTGTTTAAAAAACGTCCTGTAGTTGTATATATTTTAAATAAATTGCTCATTGTGATAAAAATGCATTGTCATTTTTCCATACCTTGACAGTTGTAAATTTATTATATAAACCGGCTTCTACAGCCTCGTTGAACTCTTCAAGTGTTGACATCTCGGAATCATTTAAAGCGTTAAATGATATCAAATATCATCTGACTGTAATCACATTTTTAATTGAACAATTTGAAATGTTGTTTCCTCAAAAAAATGGCGAAAAAAGCCCCCAAAACTGTCGAAAAACCACGATTTGCAAGAAACAGACGAATTTTGCAAGAAACGGCACAAGATCTCCCTGCGCTCCTCAATTTTGGACGCCTCAAGACCATAACTCCCTGCGCTTGTTCGTCGCGATGCACTACTTCATGTAAACCTTTCATATAGTGACTCGCATGAATTTTTTTATTAGCGCCTGGGGACGAGGCAGCATTATCACATAAGAAATGACCATTTATCGTAATGCATTTCATGGTAACCCCCTAAGCATTGAGCTCATAACGTCCGGCACGCTACATCACAAACAGCGTTCATATATACATACAGATCAAATATCGACAAAATGGTATTTCTATACAGGTCAACGTTGTTACATCTCTGGATGGGGTAGATTGAGCAGTGGGGGATCATCGCCAAATGTCTTACAGGAAGCTCAAGTTCCCATTGTAACTCCACAAGAATGCAAAAACTCATACGGCAGCAGCATTACTGATAGAATGCTGTGCGCTGGACATTCTCAAGGTGGTACTGACACTTGCCAAGGTGACAGCGGAGGTAAGACTCAAGAATAGGCATGACTTGCTCGTCGCAGTCAAAACGGCATGCCATTAACCACTAGGCTAATCTTTATATCATTTAATTCAGCAATAACCAGACCGACTAAAACAACAGGAAATAATTACTTGGGAATAAATAACAGTGGCTGTACGTAGCATTTTCCCCATATGGCACCTACTGGGTGAAAACTTAAAAAAGAACTTTAAAATATGTAACAAGATTTTGAACCTGCAATAGCACAGTTGCCATTAATCATTTAAAAGAACCCGCTTAATTAAACCAACCCACAAATAAATTTTATCTTAACCTGTTTTCCTTTCGCAGGTCCACTTGTTTGTGAACATAGTGATGGTTCATGGCATCTTAGTGGTGTGACGAGCTGGGGTCGTGGATGTGCAAGTGCCGGGTACTATGGAGTTTATGCTCATGTTGCCAACCTTTACCCTTGGGTGAAGCAAGTTACAGGACTTTAAATTTAATATACCACCAGTAGTTTGATAGCGATACATAACTACCTCAATGATTGTGAAAATACAAATGCATTGAATAAAATGATTAAGGCAAAATATCATATTGTTTTACTATTTTTGGGCGCCCTTAATTTCCTCTTTTCAATACAGCCATTATTACCGTTACTAGAAATACATGCATGCACCAACCCCTCGCTCTTTCTTAACAGAGGAACTCCTTTTCCAAAATATTGTTTCAACATAAAGTATATCATTATTGGAAACATCAATTGGTAACATGAAAATTATATTTCTAAGCGTACAAATGGCAAAATTACTCAAATATGATTGGCTAATGAGGAGGGCATTTTTTCTTAATTCAGGGCAAAATTACTTGTACCTGATTGGCTGAGATGCAAGCGCGGGACGTTTCTTGTTTTAAATAGCCATAAAAACAATGGCTTCTCGCTTTGTCGTCGCGGATAATGATGTTATTGAAGAATTAAAACTTCTAGTGAAAACTTGAACACTACAAAAGTACAAATTTATTGGTTGGAATGCTTAAGAAATAGGCAGGTAGGGCGAAAAGGCGAAGACATGGAGACATACCAGGTTCAAGAATTTGACAGTTCACAATTAACTTACAAATAATTTTGCACTTTATGATTAACAAGTAATCGCATAGTTCCTCGCAGGGGCGGATCTAGGGGTAGTCAGATTAGTCACGCGACTAACGTAAAAAAAAACATATAAAAAAATTTGGACTAAGGTTTTTGATTTTTTTCCCAGCGCTAATACTTCTCTTCATTTCTGATCACGCAATCAAAACTCTATCATACTCCAGCATATAAACTTCGATCAGTTTTTGCACATTGAGCCAGCGATTGATTAGTCAAACGATAAGTCAAATAAGCGGTATTCAAATGAAAATTGACTATTCTGCGTTTTAGAGCGTTTTAGTTCATATTATTTGATTGGTCAAATTTGCTCAGATTACACATTACAGGCATGTTGATTGGTCAGACCTATTTTGACTAACGATTGCGAAATTTTGACTATTTTGACTAATTCTGCAAATAGATAGCAGCTTCTGATTGGACAATTTGCGCAAAAGAGTTAAAGAACATCTCCTCTGATTGGCCTTCTATTCTAATCTTCAATTTGGAAGCATTGTGCACTTGGTAGCTTGTTGCAGTTCTGTACAATTTTACAAGAAAATTATTTCGTTTGTATAATTTTATTTACTATTATCGAAATGAACGACGTAGATTTCGAAAAGGTTAGATCGTTATTTGAAAGTGACGATAAGGAATGCTTACTGGTGTTCTGTAGAGAATATATTTTCAAGCAGATAAATTCGATGGATGCAAGAAAATTGTCTTGGCCGAAACTATCTAGCTGAGATGTGTTGATTTCTCGAATTCTCGTCGTCTATTTCAGGAGATTATAAAGAGGTGTATGGCAATAAGGTAAAGTGGATTGAATTTTGAACAATAAATCGTTGAATTGAACGTACGATTTGCATAATTATGCAAGTTTATAGGTCCAAAGTTTTATATACTGCATACATATTCATTATGTGTATAAAATTAAAACACCTCAAGTGGCAGAAATTTGATCTCAAATATTTGATCATGTTGGATAAAAAATATTTATTGTGTACATGCTTTATAGAGTATTATTTGACTGATAATAGCTCTGCAAATGTACTTTATAAAGATAATAATAATATAATCTTTGGTTATATTTTTAGATCTAATATATGCAACTGGCAATTGCTTGTATAGCTCTGTTTCCTAAGCATTGACAGGTACCAATGACCTAATTTGACCTTGATAGTTTAAATGTTTACAGTGCAAGTGTGAAATGTCTATTTCGGCACTTTTTATACAGTAGAACACTAAAAGGCTATATGCGAAGCACTATGGTTGAAGACTACTTAAATTAAATGACTTGGCTTGGTCATGATGCAAGTTCATCAGGAAATTATTCCTAACATAGTACTGTAGGAAACATTATTGATAAATTTTCTAGAACATGTGGTTAAAGTTAAATATCTCAGCTTGCAAAAAGACCACTCTCAATAGCAATTAATAACCTCACTCTTGTACACAACACTGACAGAAAAAACTTCCTGGGGTTTGGTTCTTCATCATCAACCAAACTTAGCCTTTCAAGATCACCACCTTCCCAAATCCCCCCCCCCCCAAACATTATTCAGGCTTTGTAGACAAAAGCTGATGCCAAATATCGGGTCTGATCTCATTGGCTTGAGACAGGTCCATTGCATCTTGAACCAGTTAAATTTTTCAACAGACCAGGGCTTGAAATAACAACTGATCACCAATCAATAATAGTCAGGAAACTGCTTATGATCGGCGGAAAAGCATGGTTTGCAACCTGAAAAAGCAGGGAAAGTCATGACTGCCGATCACCATGATCGGGAACTTTGGGAACATTATTTCAGGCCCTGACAGACAAACTCCATGTTGATAGTATGTGACTGTCTAGTGAGTGTATAATACAGTATGTATAAGCGTAGTATAGGAATAATACAATACTGTGTTAAAAACCTTGCCAATTTAATATTTCAGATAACTAGATAAGTAAAGTAATAGTCATTTGTAATGAAATATTTTGTATTTGAATCGACTGTGATTAAAATATGTTTAAAATGCCAGGTAAAATAAACTTGTTTTCAATAAAAGTTGGCTTCCACTGAAGCTACAGCTTTGAGGCACCATTTCACTTGTGATATTATACATTTTCATAGCTGGACAGATATATAACAAGATGATGAATTTAATTAGATTAGACATAGCTAGGTTAGTAATAGGACTGGGGAAGGGGCTAAAGGGAAAAACCAGGCAATTTCACATCCATGAAATGTCCCGTATTGTCATCCATTTTTAACCAAGCTCCTTTTGCTGCGGTGAAAGGTGCGAGTTGGGTTTATGGCACCTTAAAACCAGATTGCTCATTTTAGGTGGTATTCATTGTTCATTTTATTGTCACCCATTTCTAAGTTCTAGCCAAACTCCTTTTGCTCTTGCAAAAGGTGTGAAGGCAAGCAATCTGGTTTTAAGGAGCCAGAAACCTGTGGTTGTGTTCAGCTTTTTCAAGAAGCTGTCCTTGTTGGATCACGGTTTACTATTTTTGGTAAACGTGTTTCCTATAGGCATGCTGATGAACCAAGGTATACACTGTAGGGCGAAACAGTCTATATATTAATATATTATATGCTGAACATTGGCAGATACGAAAATTATGTCATTTACGCATTTGTAGTTTGATAAAACAAAATATCTATACTTCCACAAAAATTGGACTATCATCCTGACATCAAATGACGTCATGTCAAATGACGTCATCACGTTTTGCGTCATCGATGACGTCATAAAATTTTGACTAACGTGCGAAAAATCCTAGATCCGCCCCTGGTTCCTCGTAAAATTAAGGTTAAATTCCAATTATGTTTTCAAAGTTTCACAATTTGTGAAACTTTGGAAAAAACCGTGAAATTAAACCTTAATTTTACTCGGCCGCATCAGATTACCTATACTAATTTTGTAAACTACAAAATTCATAAATTCAACAAAGAGGAAGAAGAATTAAAATTTTTAACGGCAGAATCATTGATTTTCAAATTCTAGTAGGTACTGTGATGCCATTATTTGTCGTCCAATATAGAATTCCTTTCAATTTAAAATTAATCTGTTTTATTTCATGTCACCAACATGTATAGTTTTCTCGACAATACAGTAAAAATATTTCTGCTTTAGGCTCTAGTTTTTATGTGAATTAGACATTGGTCAAGCCACATTTGTTGTTTCTAATAAATAGCCAAGCGGAATTAGTACCCAGTACCCTCGTTTCAGATTTATCAAAAATAACAAAAATAATAAATTAAACTCGCCTATTGCATTGCTTCTGCATTTTTTATACACTGATTCTTTGCAGAACATTCGAGAAGATGTCCGCAATATTATTCTACGTAAACATCGTGAAGTGAATTCAACGCAATAGTTTCCAAAATATATCCGCGCAAGTAAACAAATTTCAACCCAAACAATATATTCCCATGTGCAAGTGTTAGAATGTGTCAATGTATTGATTTAATTAAGTTTAGTTTAGTTTTTGAGCCAAATCCATTGACGTAATAGTCAGAGTAAACTTTGGACAGGAAGGACGTTTACTACTGTACAGTTAATAAATAATAGTGCATGATATAGACTGTGTTGAGAACACATGTTAGAGAGTTGTTACGCTCTTGCAGAGGTAACATCAACGACGAAGTCAGATCAAGATAGAAATATTAAAGAATGAGTCTCAGGTTAATGCTTTGCGCGCTTGGTCACAGATTGTCGGCCATTTTAGGGTGCCCTGAAAATGGCTGCTTTCGTATATTAGGAGTTGAGTGACTAAATCCTCGAATATCCGAACAACTTTCATCATAAATTATTCATTATTCCTGAATTTCTGGGCTGTGAATATATGGCTTGACATACTGTTAAGCATTTCATAATATTTATTCGTTATAAATGACAAATTGAAGTCTATAGTGTGACGGTGTTTATAATATGTACAGTATGTTGTCCAGTTTCGGGACACAAAGTAGTTTTTTCGCTATATCTGATCGTTAAATATAGCTAGATGGATGAAACTTTCACAATTTGTAGCCATATCCATTTGGAAACATGTATTAAAAGCAAAAGACCCTGAGCTTTTCTATTTTATGCCCATTTGATCAAAGTCGTGAGCAACATTAGTGTCCAGTTTCAGAACAGCTTGTCCAGTTTCGGGACAGCAATTCATGTGCAGTAAAATGATCGTGATTTGACACACATGTAAGCTAAAATTAATGTTAAATAATGAACTTTAATCATATTTTAATGTAAATATATCTACAAAAGTTTAGTTATGGTTAGTAATGTTATTTTTTCTGCCATTTGGTCGATTAAATATGGAATTTTAAAAAGCACACCATCCAGACCTTTAGCTTTGTATTGCATATACTTTGTATTGCACTAGAATCCTGTAGTAGCGTAAAATAATTTACTATACAATAAATTATCTTTTTTTATTTCTCTGAACGTTTTTTGCAATGAAAAACAACGAGTTTCTACGTTTTTGCATAATAGTCCGATAACAGATCGTCGGTGTTCCGATACTGGACAAAGCGAGGAAAAATGGCATAAATATTCGAGATTTCATTATGTCGTAAATATTTGAAATATTAGGAGTTGAGTGACTAAATCCTCGAATATCCGAACAACTTTCATCATAAATTATTCATTATTCCTGAATTTCTGGGCTGTGAATATATGGCTTGACATACTGTTAAGCATTTCATAATATTTATTCGTTATAAACGACAAATTGAAGTCTATAGTGTGACGGTGTTTATAATATGTACAATATGTTGTCCAGTTTCGGGACACAAAGGAGTTTTTTCGCTATATCTGATCGTTAAATATAGCTAGATGGATGAAACTTTCACAATTTGTAGCCATATCCATTTGGAAACACGTATTAAAAGCAAAAGACCCCAAGCGTTTCTATTTTATGCGCATTTGATCAAAGTCGTGAGCAACATTAGTGTCCAGTTTCAGAACAGCTTGTCCAGTTTCGGGACAGCAATTCATGTGCAGTAAAATGATCGTGATTTGACCACTGAGCTATACTATATTACTGGAGGACCTGTTCGGGAAAAAAAAGTGAAGCCAAAAACATGGCGGATCTGACGCCATTGCCATGACTACTGGTCCCTAAATTCATGGCAACTACCACTGTCCCAACCGCGATCCTAAGTATTCGACAATGTACTTCACCCCCCTGGTTTCAGCACAGATATTTTATGATTTCGCTTGTTCTTGAGGTAAAAATCGCACTGAAAATCTTGATATTTTTCTCCTATAACTTGGTTGATTTACAATGTCGAGCCTTTTTGCGCCGCTGGTAGATGTATGAGATGTACAAGAAGAATCTTTTTATTCACCGGTAAGATTTTTATATATTGTAGAAAATTTGAAGCAGAAGTACAAACTACAAAATTTATAATACTACGAACATAAAAGTATATGAACAGCAAATTATTAGCAGACATAACAACCTGTAAATGGTTGGCAATTCTGTACATTTTATTGTTCTTTGCGTAGGTTTCATGACTGGTTAATGTCGTTAATATGATTTCAAAGTCCTTGCTGTAGTGTCTGCACACTTGTATTTATTTAGTATTTTAGTATATTAAATTTTCCTTGACAAACTTTGAATGATATCCTTGCCAGGTTCTTGCCAGCAGTTGTTTATAATTACTGTGTAGTTATATGAAATCTCACTTACATGACATGTAGACAAGTGAAAAAATACTTTGCTAGCTAGGCCAAAGACATCAGGTTCAAACCATTCAATACCCATTGCAATCAAGCAATTACCATAAACATATAAGCCCCCCTGTGTATAGTCCCATCATATTTACTAACGCTCAGGCTATTCCGAATATAAGCCACTCCCCCCTCTAAAGCCAGGCCTGTGTGTACAAGCTAGCCCATGGGCTTATATTATTTGACAGGGGCCGGTTGTATCAAGCCTGTTTGGCTTAATTTCTCATGAATCAGTCAACTTAAATATTCTGCACTGAATATGTAGTTGTAAACATCATTCTATTAAGGTTCAAAACTTCTAGTTTGGTTGTTGAATGAATCTATATAGACTTGCTTTCTATTTTGAGCTTAATTAACCAACGTTTAAGCTAAACAGGCTTGATACAATTGGCTCCAGGTATATTTATTAATGCAGCTTAGGCATACGTATTAGAATACAAGCCCAGGGCTAGCTGGCTTATATTCAGAGGCCGGTTCACAATATCTCGCCCAACATAGTTTGTCAGAGTTCTATAAATCCCACAGTCATTAGAGGCCGGTAATATAGGAATGACAGGTGCACAATATGTGTGCCAGTCACCTTGGCATTGACCAACCTTATGCTCTGACAATTAACCTAAATTGATTGATGATATGTTTGAGAGCAGTTTCAGGTTTCAGTGGTGGTGTCCCCAGTATTGGAGTAGAGCTCACATTTCAGTTAGATATATTATTTGTGATGTTGTGAACCTTCTCACTTAGATCATTTGATTTTGTGATATATTGTAATTAAATGTAAAATGAAACTTTGGGGAGTTAAGAAATACAATTAATTGACAAGACTGTCCCCTTGACAAGTAAAATTGTCAGGCATTAGACTGCCTGAGTAAAATTTTTCACATATGAGTTCTGGCATTTATAAGCCCAGCTAGCTTGCAACCAACTTTAAAGTTGGTTGCAAGCTTTAAAGTTGGTTGCAAGCTAGCTGGGCTTATAAATGCCAGAACTCATATGTGAAAAATGCTTGGATCAATTTATTTCATCCGTAATGAACCCATTTTTAATCCTTTAAGTGGCAGTGCGCCCTACTACAATATTTTACTCCGTCCAATGCCAGACGATTTTACTCGTCAAGTTGAGAGTGCTGCCCCTCAATGGGTTCAGTTGCATTGCACCAATGCACCCTACTGTATATGTTCGTGTTACTTTGTCTAACGCCAACAATTTTACTTGTCAACAAGAGAGCACAGTGGTACGTGCTGAATGGGTTAACATATAAATAATGTCTACTCTACAGTAAATTTCCCTGTAATTGGACTTTGGAGCCTGGTAAATGTGACCCACTATTTCTTCAAAGTGTGTTCTAATGATACTAGCTGTCACTATTTTATAAATATAATTGACATTTCTCATTTAGGGAGATCCGGGATGTAAGTCATGTGGACAAGTTCTTTGGAATGTTCAAATAACAAGAATAGTGGTGTTATAGTAGTGGTGGCACTTGCCAGACCTACCGTAACTGGAAAAACTAACAATGACTTTTCTCCAAAGTCTTATATCAGGCTTTTTTTCCGGGATTTTTAGGGCCGTTAAACGGCCCCAAAAACTCAATCTTGAATTGAGTTTTGAAACTCAATCTTCTCACCAAAGTTTCAGTGCAGTAAAAATGAAGTTGTTTGAGTTAAATTTGGGACGTGTGGAAATTAGTTTTCAGTTGGAAACCCGACAATTAAGAAAAAATGGCTGGAATTCATCTCACAACACAAGAAAAACTATGCATTCGCCATCGTTAACCAGTTTATAGTGTCCCTCAATGCCCCTGCTTTAACACATTCCGTCTCAACTACATTTGTTGAGTACAAGTGTCAGCCCCCCGTAGGGGGGGGGGGGCAACCACCACAGCTGTTCAGCTAAACTCAATCTTCTCTGCAAAAACGGATCCAAGAGAAAATCCTGAAAAAAAACCCTGTTATATGTACTACAAGAAATGGCCCAAGGCATCAAAACAGGGGACAGCCAAAGAATCACCCATGGAGCTACAGTTATAATAATACTCTATCACATATTGTAACTTGATTGTACAGTTATAATTATTAATTTGATAATTATTCTTTGACCAAGTTTAATTAAAATAATACAAAATTAATCATGATTTTGAATCTTTAATTTACAAACATGTTGCTTGGTACTGAGTTTCATTAACAGTTAAACAACAGTGGCATGGACTCATGCATTGTTGGAAAATTCTGCATCTCTATTGTTTTGACACTATTTTCCTGACCACTTTTGTTGTTTTTGATTTCATTTTGACCAAGTCAGTCAGGTTAGTAACTATCTTGTCTAACATTTAGAGATCTTGTCTTGTTCAAGTGAGATCTCAAACTGAGCCAGGTTATCTATGCAAATTGAAAGGAATTTCCACTATAAAAATATTAAAATAACCACACAGCGAAGTCTCGCTTACTGCAATATGGCAGAACTAGAGACTCACAATTAACTTAATATTTGAGGGATGGGGCAAACAAGCTAATGGCCTTTTAAAGACACATACAACAAACTATCATACAAATGATACAATACAATACAATCAGAGAGCACATATTAAAACTACTAGAAAATACATGCATGCAGAAACCCTCGCCTTGCTGACAAAACCGTTGCATTTT